TGGACACCCACAACAAACCTTAACAAAGTTCTCCTCTTTTTAAGTTGAAATGCGGGTCTTACGGTTTAAAAATTGAGTTTTGGCTACAGCAAATAAACCTTTGACTGTGACCAAAGATCAAAATTTCAAATGCTGAACATTATCTATCTAATTGGGCCCAATACCTTTTACAATCTAATTCTAAGTACTAATTAGGGTTCAATAAACCTATTAGCCTTTCGTACATTATCTTTTAATCTAATTTAACTCTCAATTATCTAATTTATTTTTAATTAACCCATTAACCTTAAATTAAATTGTCTAGGATGTTAAATCTACTTCTCAACACACATGGTTAGACATATCACATCATCCAAGGTCTAAAACTACTAAAGCTAGACTAGATGGCTGATATTGTGTTTAAGCCTGTAAGGTACTAGGCTATTATTTGCTCTTCCTTTTCTTGAATGTCACACTTGATCATGAGTTATTCAAATTCTGTAGTATATTCTTCTACAGTTAAAGACCTCTATTAAAAATTTTGTAGCTAGAGAAAGTTATCCTGTTGGTAATGGTTTAGTAGAAATTTTCTGGTGATATGGCATTTTATTTTTTCCCATGTCTCAAACTTGCACTTTCCCTCATGTTTTCACTTCTGTATGAGGTTTTTCCAACTAAATGGAAGCATGTTTCTTGAGGTTGAGGGCGACAATCCTGACTTTCTGTGTATCTGAAATCTCCTTATATTCAAATACTCGTTCAATAGTTTGAAGCTAGTCTACGAACTCGTCTAGCTGGAGTCTTTCCTCGAATTCAGGAATGTCTAACTTAATGTCATTAAAACAAAATTGTTGTTGTGGATGGTGATAATTGTCAGTGGATGACGAACTACTGCTTCTCGAATCTCCTTATAGGTTTTTTTCCATTATTGTTTAACAGAGTTCGCTGCATTTTTACAGTAGCTTCCAACTCTCGTGTCCTACATCTCATCTCTTCCATCTTAACCTCGTACACATTCCTACGTCTTAGAGGCATTTAGCTAGGTATAGAGGCAAGGATAAGGAATTTCTAGGAAAAAGAAAAAGGGTAAATGGAAATTATGGTGTAATTGAGGGCAAATAGGAAATGTTATAAAGATATAGGAGTAAAATGAAAAGGTTGTACGGATATAGGGGTGTAATGAGAATTTAAAAAGTATAGGGGTAAAATGAAAAATCTAGAAAGTATAGGGCTTAAAGTGTAATTTTAGAAAAATATGGGGGTTAAAATTAAATTTATGAAAAGTTAAGGGATAAAAATGTAATTTTTAAAGATTTGGGGGTTGAAATGGTATTTAAAAAACGTTAGGGGTTAAAATAGAATTTCAAAAAGTTTAGGGTCAAAATAGAAATGCTAAAAGTTTGGGGGTCAAAATGCAATTTTAGAAAAGGGCTAACTGGGCAGGGTGATGTGGCGAATATGACACATGGCGAACACTGATTGGGCTGACTTGTTGTTGACTGGTCAGAATGATGATGTGGTAGATGACGTCATCATCTTCAACCTCCAAATGTTGCATGCGGCACGTGTAATAGCGGCGAGACACATGAGACTCCGACAAGTGGCGTGTGAGGGCGCATGAGACGTCGTACGACGATGAGAGGAAAAATGTTTTCAAACCTCTTGAGCACAATGGTGATGTCAGTTTCTTGAAAAAAAATGCCTGGATTGCAAAACATAAAAATGTCAAGGACTCCTCCTTTAAATCTCTTTCTTCTCCTATGTAATCCCTCAATTTCCTCACTTTCTCATTCTCTGGATCGGCTTTAATGCCAAAATAGCTCAAGAACTAAATGGAAAACAAACTCTTATTTATTACTTTCAATCTGAGATTCCAGCACACAGAGATACTAAGCTATTTATACTATTCTAAGTCTTAAATGGGGCAAAGGGAGATAAATGGCAAGTTACAATTGTTTTATTATTTGTGTTAAAGGTGGCAACCCAACGAACATCTGTTTATGCTCTTCTACTCTCGTTCCTTTATGGTAGTTGTTTTTTTTCCTTCAATGATACATCAAATGACCTTACCAAAAAAATTATTCGTAGACAAAGACCAATAACAATTCATCATTTGATGAAAAAAAATGCTATTGTTACCATTTTAACAACAAACAATTCTGTATTAGTCTTTATTTGTAAATAATTCTCTTAGAAAATCTTTAGATGATGGGAGAATGATATATGGGTCCCAAGAGGGAACCAATTAGATCAAATGAAATCTCCAATGTCAAACTTTAAAAATGTGCAAATTCGTCTCTTAATTTTGTAACTTATTTTTTTAAATTTTAACATGATTGAAAAATAAATAAATTTATTTTTTCTATTAAAATTTGAAATACAAGTTATAAATTCATTATAACAAAATTGCAAGATTGATGAAACTCAAATTTATAAATTCTTAAAATTTGACACTTAATATCTAATTTGAATTAAAAAAACCTCGGTCTGATTCTCCCTTAATAAAATCATAAATGATGGTGTCATCATTATTTTGTTAGAATGGTAAAATTTCCAAATATACCCCTAATGACATTGCTTAGGCTGTTGGCCATGACCAGAAAAAATTTCCTCACAGGGATGGCTCTTCTTCTCATCTCACTCAAAAAAATTGTAGATTGTGCCAACTTTATTCTTAAAATAATGTTCACCCTCAAACCATGGTCATCGGAAAAATTTACTTTGTCGAGATTGAACCGTTGATCTTGACTGCGTGTGAAAAGAAGACAATTTTAAAGCAAATTGCCTCACGAAACGTGCTCTTTCATGTACACTATATGCCCCTTGAAGATATTAGCTACTTTATTTCTGACGTTGTAAGTTAGTTGTATTTCTTTTATTGTCTTTCTTTGTTTATCAAAAAATCTTTTATCAACTAATGCTTAGTCGACAAGCCAAGTGACATCCATTACTCACTCATCTTGTTTTTATTTTTTTTTTTCTAACAAAGAAATATATATCGTCATAATGTTTTGAGCCATTAGTGCATGCTAAGAGTATTTTATTTTGACCGATAAGTACCTCATTAACAAATAAGGTCGACACATAACTTTTGACAACATTTTAATTGATTGTCAGTCTAGGTTAATGGGTCAACGTCAATGACCGTTAGTCCAGAAATGACAATTCAATGATTTCGACAATTGAGTGATGATATTTTTTAAATAATCATGTAGAATAACTAGTGCTCCTTGACAAATATTTTTAGAATAAAATTACACTTTAATCCAACATTTTAAACACACAATTTTGTTACCCCAACCACTAACCTCATTTGAAAATTCACTTATTGTAGCCTTATTGTAATAAACTAGCATTTACTACCCCGTGCGATGCACGGGAAGCAAATAATAAGCCAAACATTATTGTAAAAATACTTTCATAAAAGATAATGTCTTCAGCGACAAGCAACAATGAAAATTCAAATGGCAAAATGATAAACAATTGTATAATACATACATTATAAATCCATAGCTTTTGGAAACATGATAAGGTCTAATCTCCCAAGTTTTTAAAGATTTCTGTATACACCACATTTTTTGTTGTTGTTGATCCAACCTTTTCTTCATCATGTAATAAAATCTTGAGTCCATCAATGCTTTTTACCCTTGACAATGCCACATATAATTGTCCATGAGTGAAAACTGGTTTAGTTAGGTATAACCCAACATGACGCAATGATTGACCTTGGGATTTATTTATAGTCATTGCAAATGATAGAATCACTGGGAATTGTCTTCGTCGCATGCGAAATGGCCATCTACTTTCTGATGGATTCATGTCCATCCTATGAATTAAAACTTTTTGATGTTGCCTTGAACCATTCAATGTTATGCCCTCAATAACATTTTTCCCTAGCCGAGTAATGCGCAACCGTGTACCATTGCATAGACCAGACGCTTGGTCAATATTCCTCAATAGCATTATAGGTGCTCCAACCTTCAAAGAAAGAATATGTGGTGGTAATCCAGAGCAATTAATTGTGTTGAGAAACTCAGTTGTATACAAATCATCAAATGAATCGTTGTCTTCTGTAGACTTGCATACAGAGTCAGAACTAAAATATTCCATTGCTTCACCAGGTAGCAACGAACACATATAGTTATTAACTTCACTCACACTTTCAATAGTTGGAGCTAAAATTGCTCTATCGTTAAAGTATGCTATGTCTTCAAAATTGATAAGTAAATTTGGATAAGTGGAAGACACGATGGCATTCATAGGATCTTTTGAATTACAGATAAGCAAATTGTGAGGAATATCAATATTTGTTGTACCATCATGTGGTTGTCCCAGTTTCCCATCACCTACGTCTAACAACCACTTGCTAAATTTTTCCAAAGCATTGCTATCGGTATTCATAGAAGATGATGATAACCGCATATTCCTTGTTAGTTTATATATTTTGCAATGATCCCATAAAGGTGAAGAACTAATACATGCATTAACAATGGTTGCTCTTGTTCCTTTAGGTATGACAGGAAGTATTTGACGGAAATCGCCACCCATAAGAATACACTTTCCACCAAAAGTATCATTTGAATGCATAATATCCTTTAATGTCCTATCAAAAGCTTCTATGCAATACCGTTGAACCATTGGTGCCTCATCCCAAATAATCAATCTAGTGCATTGAATTAAACGTGCCAAGGGAGAGTTTTGTTTAATACAACAAACAGAATCCTCTGTTATTTGGATAGGAATGGCAAACCTGGAATGCGCTGTCCTTCCAGAAGGCAATAAAGTAGCAGCAATGCCACTTGATGCAACAGTTAGGACAATCTCTCCTTTCGCACGAAGTGATGAAGACAAAGCATTCCATAAGAAAGTCTTTCCAGTTCCCCCGTAACCATAGACAAAGAAAAAACCACCATAGGGGGAGTAAACTGATGACATGACATTGTCAAAGACATGTTTTTGCTCAGAGTTAAGAGATTTTACCAACTTTGTAGCTTCTATACCCAAGGCTTGACGATCATAGTTTAATTCCTGTAGCATTAAATGATTTGTGACATCAAAGTTTGATGTTACTACTGGCAATGGAAGTGACGAAAAATCTTGCAATGACTTGCCATTACTATGAAGAAGTGAATCAATCTCACGAAGTGCAGCTTCTTCCTTTGCAACCAGTGGCACATTAATATCTACAATAATTAATAAGGTCAATTATAAGCATTAACTTATGTTGACAATGCAAATAATAAAAGATTATTTAGATTTGCAATTTACCTGACAAGGTTGGATCATTTCGTGGGATGTATAATAAATCTTCAGACAATATCTCAGAAGTATTACTCCATACAAAATCCGGCCGACTCAAGCATGAGCAAAGTAGCATAGTGACAAACATCCTTCTCAACTGAACTCCCGAAGCCCAAACTGAAGCCTCCCTAATTGCATTGATGTACTCCCTATCATCATCCAATAAACCTAGTGCAAAGCAAGCATCTTTGAAGGTTGGATATATAACACCATTAACCGTCTTAATATCATCAAATGAAGTAGGGCCCTTGACTTTTGTCAATAGTATTCTAAGGAAGTAAAGTTCTCCTGATGATGGTGACACGTGAGTTATTCTACCTACTGCAAAACCTCTTTTTCTTTCTTTCCAAGCTCTTTTATTCCTTTCATAGACATAATGATGTGGGAATTCAGAATATGTAAGAGTTTTGGCAAGATCTTGGTTACCATTCATTTCCATCCAAGCTAAAAATTGTGATTCACATACTCTTGGCTTATCTAACAACTCTGCCACGTCGTCTGTATTTGAGTAAACTATAGGTTGCTGATTTGGTAAATGAAAACTTAGTCTTTCAACAGAAGGATGTCTGTGGTGGATGTCAAATCCAAATATACGCCAGGATCCCTCACAAGCAGAAATATATCTACAGTTATAATACTGCTGAATCTCGTCACTGTTGTCATATATTGTTGCCACCACTCTATCATTTCCTTTGCTGATGTACTTAAATAAGTACTTGATAGAAGTGGAATGATTGCATTTCTCAACATTGATATGAGCTTGAAACATGGTAAGAAGGACAGAGTTATATGGGACAACAAATCTATTGTCTAAATGAATACCCTTTACTTCAATATCTCTCCCATCATTTCTTCTTTTATATGTAGGGTATCCATCTTCATCAATCACTGTTTGGTTGTTGAATTTTTTAGGGAAATATTTACTGCATTTCTTATCCTTCATGCACGGTGACTTAGGATTGCTTGTACCACATGGACCATGCATCATAAATCTCTTGACCAAATCATACAATTTTGGCGAGGTATGCTTATCTGGGATTTCTGCAAAGATTACCCTGTCGACACCATCCGAGTCATTGATTTTATCATGCTTGTCAAGGAACAAAAGTATATGGGCATGAGGTAAACCCCTCTTCTGAAATTCAATAGTATATACCTCTGTATATAAAGAAGATATAATAAGAAGAAGTCCAAACATAGAGAGATTAAAAGCTAGAAAAAATGGAGGTAATAATTTAAAAATGAAAGTAATAAATTATAAGAAAAAATATACATTTGAATAGTCATGGAATTTTACCTGCACGTATAGTTCCAAAAATTTTCTTTTCTTTAATTGTCTTCATCATCGATTTCAACTTCAATTTGAATACCCTAGATAATATATCTGGCCGATCTGATGGAGATATAAAATTTCGATCACAAAACCTAGTAATTTCTGGCCATGCTGGATTGCAAGTGAAAGTAAGAAATATATCTGGATATCCTGCCCAACGACAAATAGCCATAGCATCTTGATAATTTTGAAGCATGTATCTTGCTCCTCCTGTAAAAGAAGATGGCAAAATAATTCGCCTTCCAGTTGCACTTGCATTTCTTTCTCCATTGATCAATGCATCTGACAACCCTTGATACAAATCAACTCTAAGCTCCTTTTGATGAGTCCTGACCCATAATAGTCTTTGTGATTCAATCATTGTATATCCATCTACAATGAACTGCTGTAATAATCTACGGGCATGAAGTAATATTGATACCTCATTTTGATGGGACATAAGTCTGTAAGAGAAGTATTCTCGCATGCTGACTTTCTTTTTCTTCTTTGTTCTAGTCAATGTTTCCTCTCGATGATCAATATCATCCCTATATCCATCCTCACCAAATGGGAATAGAATAGGATATTGAAGAGGAAGATAAGATGCATGCAATTCACTAATACGTTGAGGAGATCCTGATAATTCTTCTATGATAATATCTCTCCTACCGAATGACATGTCTATATCGCCGACGACTAATGCTGCAACTTCAGAGGCAGACGGAAGATTGTAGTTACGACCATCATGCTGCCTTGTACCAATCAAGCATAACTTCAATTCATTATAGGCATGGTTTTTGATTAGTGACGAGGCCATTCGGTATTGCTTCACAAAAGGATTGAACTCATCTAAGACATCTTTAAGAAGATGAACTATAACATGATCAATCTTCAAACCTGTATGATGGTTGCTGATATAATTGAAATGCCAATGTTAGTATTCATCAAACTTTTATTATTAAATATGATAAAAATTTGAAAAAGGAAATTACCTTACTGCAGCTATTCTATTTGTAACTTCATTTTCAGTATCATAAATGTATAGTTGTGAGTACACAGGTCTAGCTCCTTCCAAGGGTAGTAAACTTCCAATCATGTGGTAATTCATTCCAGACAATATAAAAGAATAAGGACCACCACCAGAGTTAATTGAATGGTTGATCTTTCCACCCATAGATGTAAATGAAAACATGTTGTTGTATTGTCTTATATTTGCTAAGAAATCCTTTGAATGCATAGACTTCTTGTCAAAGAATAGTCTCTCTAACATTGGTGGCGGTGGATGTATGGTTGGTAATACAACCTTGCCCTTAAGGCAACAAATTGAGAATTCCATGGTTCTTCTAAATGTGTCTTTTTTGACACGCTCATTCAACCATAGTTCAGCTCCACAAAATATGCATATCTCAGTAGGATCTCCTTCATCTATATATTCTATATATTATTGTTAATAAGTTAGTACTTATTACTCAAAGTGATGCAAGATTAGAATAAATATTGTTCTGATAAAGATTTAAAAAAAATGATATAATATATTGATATAAAGGGAAACCAATTAAGATGAGTGATAAATAGAAATCATATTAAATCAAAAAAAGAAGAGGTATAAAAATACAGTGTTACAAAATGCTCATAAATAATAGTTTCTTTAAAAAATACAATTGTAGGTACCAATTAAAAATAAATATATTCATGAATATATTTGACATTATAAATATAATTGATTTTATCTATGAAAGGTTTGTGAAAGACCTTTAAATAGTGGTTGAAACATCATGTAATGAGGTGGCTACTTTTTTAATGATAGGCTAATGTATTTTGACATATTAAAAAGTTTTTATGCATATAATGGAAAGTTTATGGAGATACGCAATTTACACAATTCAAAAATACCAAAGTGTAAAATATAATGTTTATAACACATAAGCAATTAATTATAAAATTATAAGTAACAGTTCATAATATTATGATGAAGATGATAAGCATTATACCTGGTGCAATGCCTTCCTTTTGATTATCCTCAGTGTTATGATTTTGTATGGTGTCTAATTCATCTAGAAAAAATGTAAAAAAAAAAAAGGTACAAAAAAAATAGAACTTATTCATAAAATAATATTTATATATTTATAAATTGAGATAATATATTTTTAACATATAAATCATAAAGTAATTACTTATCTAAAAATAACTTAAATAAATGGAAACATATATTACCTCCAGATTGTCCATTGGAGTGTTCGCTATCATCATGAATTTCGTCATTATTAAAATCATAATTGAATTGAAAATCTTTATATTTGATTTCAAGACCTGTAAGAAAACAATTCATGCATCATGGAAACTAATATGAAATGTTCTTGCAATAACAATGACAATAGTCTTACCTGTTGAGCGAGAAGGTTGGTCATTGATCCTAATATTATTTGGATTCATGATAACTGCAAATAATTAGGTTGACCTTGTTCATTCAATTCATTCAATGTATAAAATAATCAAGTGATGTAAAAAATATTTATTTAAACATTGAATTTACAGTGGGGATGTGACTATACCTTTTTCTGTTTTGTGCTTTCTATTACTGGATTTTCCAATTGATATTTGTGTAGTGGTTTCATTGCTAATGTTTTGGTTACCAATCTCAATAGCTTTGAACCTAGCACTCTTTCGCTGATAAACATTCTCTTCCAAATATGAACATGAAACCCAACCAAATGATGTTTCCAATTAGTTATGCAATGTAAAAGATGATGAGGAAACAGTATGTGGAGATATTGTAATAGGAAAACAAAGATATTAACTTAAACCATATGTTCACCTGCCTTCGGTATGGTCTGAAATCTTTGACATAAATTTTTTGCTACATTTGTCAAGTCCTTCAAAGCTTTTCTTTTCTGTCTAGTTTTTAACCCTTTTTTCATATCTTGTGAGAATATTGTATTTGACTGTGTACATCGAAAACTGCATTCTGGGCTGGTTAGACAAGTTGAGATATTTTGAATGGATTGAGGACTATTGCCAGGTTGCAAGTTATCTATCATCAGCAAAGACAAGATATACTTGAGACAAGCTTGAGGTATATGTGAATGCATTTTAGTGGTTACAAAATAAACATACCTGCGACAGTTTCAGAAATGATGCTTGTGCATCTATCTTCTTGTGTCTGTGTTGCTTCATTTTCTGAGAAAATGATTCTTCTCTTCCTCGGCATTATGGAAAAGTGAAACTGTTTGGGGCGTTAATCTGAAACAGGAGGAGAAATAAGCCTTGTCTGAAGCGTATGAGCATCTGTCATGTGTGAATAAAAAACAACTTGCTTCAAGAGATGCATGTAATATGTTTGTTTCCCATTTTTTTAGTTCACAGAACCCATGACGTGTGAAAGTGACAGCACTTGGTAGCATTCTGAAATTTCATGTAAAGATATATATATATATATATATATATAAAGCATGTAGTTTGCAAACTTAAAGGTGGGTCAATAGAAAAAGTGTTTTTTCCGTTTTTATGTAATTGGCTCAATAAGGTTGTCAAGTTCATAGGTCAAAGCAAGTATCCTTTCTCATTTGTCCCTTCAGTGTTTTCAATTGGGCCATCAATCCATAAAGTTTGTCCTAACTATCTACTTGTTATAATAAAAAGTTAACTTGAGTGCATGTTCCCATAAAGGATAAAGCGATTTAGAGTATCCCATAAGATATGTTAAAAACCATCAAATTTCAATAAAGGTGATAGTAATTTCAAAAGATAATATAATTTTCAAAAAAACATGATGGATGGTAATGTTCCAAAGCCATATAGATGTATAATTAGCATTAAATCAGTAGGCCTTACTTAGGTGTCATTCCAGCAAAATATG